CTCTCACGGTAAACTCTCCGTCGGAACACCTGTCTTTGGCCGTGACTACCAAAGTAGGCTCCCAGACTGGATTGAGGGAATGATAACAGCACACAGAGGCAGCATACTCTTTGACGTCTCTGTCGGTGATGACACATGGGCTCGTCGCCACAATCAGATCCAACGGCGGCAGTGCAATATCCCAACCGGACCTGAATCAAGTGCTTCACTCTCTCTCGACATCCGGCTGGAAACCTTTGCCATTCCAGCAGACCAGTCGGCCCCCGAACTGAATACTGCAGCCCCTTCGGATGTACTACTTTGTAAACTAGTTCCTGACCCCAAAACAGTAGATCGGAAGCCACCCCCAACACAACCAACCGAGCTCGCCAAAGTCCGCAGCGCTTACAGGTCAATCAACACCATAAACTGCAGACGAGAGGATCTTCATTGGCGAGCGTGTAGCTTCCTGACCCCCCTAAGGCAATCTCAAGTCAAGTTGAGTCAAGTTTATTAAGGGAAATATAGGCAAACTCCCTATCCTTACAAATTAGTTAAGAAATGCATTGGCACGGCCGAAAATTTCAAGGACAACCGATTATATAATTGTATGCGACTACTCCCGTGTTGCAATTAATATAATCACATGGGGTGATGTCAGTTAACATGAGTCAGCAGGTATAACTGAGTAAAAAGAGTAGACGGGGAAAAAACTCCTGAGGCATGGCTCAGAATTTAAAAATCGAATGTCATGACGGCTAATAAGCCATAGATAGCCATTCCGGTCTCCCTTTGCTATGTCGGATCCACTTCACAATGTAATTTGTGTTTTTAGGACAAAAACTGTCGCTCGTGGGAGAAAAGTATGTGAAAGGTAAGACGGCATGCTGCTGTGAATGGTGGCGGCAAGCCAAAGGTCCATCGCGAAAAATATCTTTGTCCGAAGGGCCACACGAGTTGAATATCGCAGAGTCATGCATACATCCCGAAGAACCGCAGCTGCGACCACGATACGCCCGTGCCAATTTCCGAGGCCGTCATCAACGCGACGAAGACAGGAGAAGCCACCACGTTCGCGACTATCCGTTACTGGTTGACATAAGTGAACTGTGTGCATATGGATGGATTTGGTACAGATAATATTTTCATAAATAAAGATTACGAAACGAAGCAAGTAATACTATAAGAAACGCAATATTTCTTTCGTCTGCAGTAAGACTACAGTGGTCAACTGGTGTTAGAGTGAGCATTACTATAGCAATCCAGCTTCTTCTTGAAGGTTTCAACGGAAGCGGACGTAGTAACATCCAGGGGCAGCGCTGTACAAGCTTCAACCGCTATATTACAAAAGAAGAACTTTCGTGAGTCTAGTCTGGCCCCTGTTACACGTAATTTGAATGGATGACATCTTAAGTTCGTGGTTGTCGCTAACTTGAAGAAGTCTCCAGGTAGAAGACAGCGGTCCTCACTGCGCATGATACGAAATTTTTGTATCAGATTACCGCTTAGCCGCCTGTAACTTAAAGGAAACAGGTCGAGATTAGCTAAGCGTATTTCATAGGGTAATGAGCCCTGCCCGGTCACAATTTAGTTGCACGCCTTTGAACCTTCTCGAGGGAATTTAGGTCTTTCGCGTTCCAGGGTCTCCACGTTTGAATAGCAAACTCCAGTTTTGGCCGCACGAATGAGCCAGAGACCTTAGCGAAGCAGATGTATCAAAGGCACAGAAAGCCCGTCTGAGAAAATACAGGACAGACATCACAGGCATGACTACTTTTGCTCAATGCAGCGAGGGCTTAAGCGACGTCGTGATCCACAATCCCAGACCTTTCTGCGCGTCCACATCTTGCAGTGGAATACCATTCAGGTTGTACACCATGGGATTCTGACAGCTGGGTCTGCCAAATCGTAGAATACTGCGCTTGCTCTCATTAAACAGCAAACATCGATATTTAGTCCAAGTTTGAAGACGGTTTAGGTTTATCTGCAAACGCTCATCAGCAGGTGCAGTTCTGATGACTTTCCAAATCTTAATATCCTCGGCAAACATAGCCGCGTCACAATCAAGTTCACGGACGCAGTCGTTGACGTACATACTGCACAATATAGGGCGAAGGACAGAGCCTTGGGGAACACCGCTCTCGACCGCAACGTTTGCCGACTGCTGGTCACCGATATGGACAGTTTGAGAGTGGCCAAGTAGGAAGCCTCGAGTCCGCTTCAGCAGATTTCCTCCAACACTTAGTTGGCTGAGTCTGTGCAAAAGTCGTTGATGTGGGACACCATCAAATGGCTTCATGAAATCAATATACACTAAATGGAGCGGATTTCCTTCATTGATTGCCTGGGTCTAACGTTACAAACCATAGAGCAAGTTCGTCATGCAGGATCTGCCTCTGCGGACTCCATGCTGCGCGTCTGATAGTAGGTTATGCTGCTCAAGGAAGCACATAAACTCTCGCTTTACTACTTTTTCCATAACTTTGCAACAGGTAGAAGTAAGGCTGATTGGTCTATAATTGTTTGCGGAAACTTTTCTGCCGCCTTTATACAACAGTGTGATCCATGCAGATTTCCAATCGGCGGGTAAACAACTAACTTCGAACGAAATATTGAAAATCATGGAAAACAGTTTAGCTAGGTCCCGGCAAGTTCTTTTAGTAATTTAGGTGGAATATCATCAAGGCCAGGTAATTTGGAGTCATTTAGGGCCAACAGCTCCTGACAACAGTCGCTTAGGCGAAAGATACATAATAAATCTTTCGACCGTTGTCTAAGCCATAGTTGGGAGGGATGAATCCGCTTTCAATCGTAAAGATCGATTTGAAAAATAGCAAGAGATGCTCAGCTTTTGATCCATCCTCAGTAATTTCTGTTTCCTCGCTTGCTTTCAGAAAGGGAACTGGGTCCCGGTTTCGTGTTGTCGTTCTTAAGTAGCCATAGAATAATTTAGAATTTGTAACTACCCGGTTCAGTAAATCGTTTCAAAATCGTGGCGTGTCAGAAGATAAGTCGCTTTACGAGGCTCCTCTGCACTTTTTATGCATTTATGAACACCGGATTTCTATCTGCGAGAGATTTTTATCACAACCTCTACGCTTTCTACTAAACGAAGGGCTGTTGTATGGGAGGAAAACGCACTTACAGAAAGTCGGGAAAATCTGATTTTAGAAGCCCCCAAAACCCCGTAACTTATAATAAAAAACTACTTTGAAATTTTAAGTAGCCCGACATTGAATTTGTCATTAGATTCCACCAATAGGAGGACGAATTACCGTTTTCATTAAATTCCGCCTGCATAAGGTAGAATATTTCCAAATTGGCATTCGTTTTCTTCGCAACAGAAGTTCATGTTAATCGAATTTTATTCTATTTCAGTATATTAAAACAAGCATAATCTTATGTATTCTAATATTTTCGATCACTTCCGCCATAATTACACATCGATTTACGCTCACTAGGCAAGAATTATATGTTTGACCACAAATACGTTAAGCAGTTGGCGGGGAAGAGATAGATAGCTAGAGGGGCCCTAGAAGTCAGTTTTGTCGAATGTCGCACAACTGACAGAACTCAAAATATCAAAACCGTGGGGAAGTAAACAGACAACTTAATAAATTCATTATATATTACCGTGAACCTATAGGTGTTAAGGCTAAGACGGTTAACCCTAACAGCTACAATCTTCCA